TGCCCGCGCGACCAGGAATTCGCCTTCCAGTCCCTCCATCTCCCCAGCTTCACCGATTTATTTTTCTGAAACAGCCGAACGGTGATCTCTCCCTTCTCAATATTTTTGAACGTCAGGTGCTGATGGATGTAGCCCCTTCTGCATGACCTTCTAAGGGCTATCAAGAAGTCCCGCGAACGAACTCTTCGTGCTATGGCTCGCAAGCAAAAACCAAATGATGTGAGGATTGAGGATCGTCAGCTCCTCGAACTTTCATTTCAGTCGAATATTCCGCTATAATTCATCATGGGGTCACGCATGCAGTTTTCTTAATTAAAGATAATTCCTCGCTATCCCTTCAGAGAATCGTCCGGGGTCATGTGTGTAGGTTTGACAATCACTTCCCGCTGGCAATTCACCGATACATTGCTCCTTATGAATATCATACAATGGCAGTATCCTCCGTCGATCGTCTCGAGTTCTCGGAGAGCGGCGAAGTCTGGCCAGATGAGAGGGGTGCGATGGATATTAGAGGAAACATGATTTAGAGACACTGTATTGGACGGGCGATTGTTCGCAGTTACTTCTAAACACATTGCTTGCAGCTCGCGGCGGGCTTCAACTGCTGCGGTCGGTGGCACGACGCAGGCGGTTCAGGTTCAAACATTTTCGGATATTTAGGTTCCCGACGTTTATCTACCAAGTCTGTCCAACGTCTATTCCTGACCTCGAGAGCCCACCCGCAATGACACCGTGGATGGCTCGGGTATGCCTTCGAAAATGAGATGTAGGCTGTTTACGTTTCGAGGGATCACAACCGCCAAGTCCATGGATTTCTCATTTTCTACAATGAGGTAGGGCTCGGTAGTCGAGAAACTATCCACCACCTTATCCGCCCCATGGCGGCAATGTGCCGCGGGAACCTCGTCCCACCCACTCACCTCTTATGAATCCTCCTTAAATAGCACGATCGCTGACGTCAGCGGACGGGATTATCCGTATTTTTTTCCGTGATGGTCCGCGGGGGCTCTTAGGTTCTTTTTTTTCGATAGCACGATTATGAAGGTCGGGACTCTTACTCGAGTTGGAGTTAACGAATCATTTGTTGTACGTTCCCCCGGGACTCATTGCGCTGAATTCGCATTCGCTCTCGCTCTCGGACCCGTTATGCCTCATTGTTTCGTCTATTACCTCCGAGAGCACCCAAAAAAACCTAGGGCACGAGGACTAAGAGACCTAGCGGAGACTTTACTCCATGTGTCGTTGGAGACTCCGTAGAGATTCTCTGCGACGAGGGAAACAATTCAGGCGGTGCGGCGCTCCCACAATTTTCTGAGGGGTCCCATGCAACGCCTTCGAGCGTCAGCGTGCTTGGCTGCATTTGGGGCAACAGCCAACGAAATCAGCGAAGACGCATTTCAATCCACTCTTCTCGGTCCTCCACGTCTTCTCCTCCAACTTCCTTTTCTCTCAAGTAAACATTCTGGTCGATTGCACCGACAGAGATCCGACTCCGAGCGACTCCGAAATTTAACCACATTGAACGTTTCTAGTGCGTTTCACCTCGTTTGCACTCGCTTCGTGATAATTGGGGAACGGTCTGGTCGCGTGGTGGATGGAAGGTACAAACTCCCGTTTCCGAACGAAAGCGGAAGAGGAACGCCTGCGAGAGGATTAGCGCTCGCAAGGCGAGTGTCTAGGTCCAGCCCTGTTTATTCAAGTTAGAGGTCTCCCCTCGGAGCTTAAGTTGAAAGACAATCACGATGATGAATGAATGAAATGGACCCTCTCCGCTCGGCCGAGAGACGATTGGGGAACGAAAAAGTGCCGGAGTCTGGCAATCCGAATCAATGAGTACATGACCAGAATTTTATTATCCTGATAGACGGGCGAGGTTCCACATTCCTGACGGATATTTCCCAATCGCGTCATGATTCCCGGATTCCGAATCGGGGTTGCTCAAGTGAGCTCGGCAATATACCGTTGTCAGCTTGCGCCGATGGACTTGCCTGTCAGACACGATGCGATGCTCTCGTACCTTCAATGCTATCATCTGTCGATCCGAGAAAACGTCACATTCCGGCTTCGTACCGCCAGCCTAAAGTTGGGCGGCCTGTCAGATGGTTCTCTGTGACGGTGGCGAATATCAAGCATTCACATTTACATTTAAATACAAACCTTCCTCTCGCTCAGTTTCCGGAGGACGCTCCCGACCGGGGATATTCGACAGCTTTCGCTTCAACTCCTGCGCATCGGGAGGATTCGTAGACCGCGACGGAGACGGCAATGAATCCGTATCGAGAACAATCGTCGGGAATCGCCCACGCTTGCATGAGAAGATGGGCGTACGTATTCGAGCTCCGGCTCGAGGCACTTGGTATTTTCGACGCCGGCGGCGTCGCTTGGAAAAAAAATCGAGTGCCAAAGGTCGTAGGCTTACTGCCGAAAATCCGTTTTCGACTCCTCCGATACCATTTTGTGACCGGAAGCCTGAAGCTTGGACGCCTGAATCTCCGACACGCACGCTGAAAAACACGGAGTTCCGCTGATTCCCCACCCATCCCATATTCTCCATTCTTTGGTCAATGCTTGAGTCCGCGTGTTGATGTAGAGGTGATGAGTACGAGGGAAAGCGTGGCTCACACAGAGAGAAGCTTCTATCAGAACCGAGAAGATTGCTGGACCTCTGCTCGTGAGCAGGAGTCGCTCGAGAATCTCGTCCCTCTGTAATGATCCAAAGCCAGTGGACACACCAAAACGCAAGCACCTCGAAGCGGAACTTGCCGCTATGCTCGAAGCAGCCGAGCGTGGATTGCAATGGAGGCTCCGTCACGGGAGTGTTCGTCAGTTCATCTCATCTGTGAATGGCCTGGACATAGTTAACAGCGCGCAAATAAAATACCTACCCTCAGCTGCTACTGACAATTCCGAGCGAATCGCTTTCTATCATCGCGGACAGAAAAGTCGCTGATATCTGGATCTAATCGAACGGTCCATGGCTGCAGGAGTCTTCCTGCTAAGCTCCGCGGGACTGTGGCGGGAAAAACTGTGTCCTAAATTGAGAAACACGTGCCGTCGATCATTCCTCGAATCCGGTTCGTTTGTGCCCAATCATTTCCTGCCGATTGCCATCGGACCAGAACGCAGCACACGGCGAGCGAATTTGTGCTAAGTTTGCGAAATCGACAGGAACGATAATTCTTGATGAAGCTTGATGAAATTCCTCATCTGGAAATCGCTGGCTTGCAAGTCGGCAGTCCTGGACGTGATGACGCGGAGGCCCAATGAGTTCCGCTCCCTGATGGTCTCTCAACAACTCTCTTTATCACTCACTCGCCTTTGCTCCGCGACTCGCTCTCTGCGGGGCTTTTTCTCGGGGCGTAGACTGCCCGGGGTCGAGGTCTATCCTGTCTCTGCGTGAGATACCCGGTCACATCTCTAATGTCCCTATCGGTCTCAGAGCTACGATCTCTCTCACGATGTCTACCGCACCGCGACGCCCGAAACTACCGCATCAATTGATTCGTTGGACGTGCCGGTGGAGCTCCCGTCAATCATAACATGAGTACGTCATGAAATAACGCAATCGAGCTCTACTCGTAGCCTCGGATTCGGATGATCGCGACGACGAGCACCACCTCGGGAATCGGATGAAGCGATGGCGCGGGGCAATCGTACAACGAGTTCATTCTTCTCACCGTGATGAATTAATTCGACGTGTTCGTGCGCAGGCTCGGTGAAAACAAGGGCGAGCGGCGGATGGGGAACAAGAGCTCTGAAAAGAACTAGGAAGCTTGGGGAGGATCAAGCTGGTCATTCTCGAGTCACGATGGACATAACTTTTGTGATCGGAGGATACGAACGAAAATCCGCGGTCGTCAAACTCGGACTTGATGACCGAATCTCCCGCGAACGTGACACTGCCGCAGTGAATCGTCAGGATTCGTATGAATCGACCAAGAGCGAGAATTTCGAACCCTTCTGGGCTCGGTGAGGAATAAAAGGGGAAACGATTATTCTACCACGAATCCCCGCTCGCACGTTACGACATCACCGGGAACACGGCTTCCCGATCGCTCCCGGACCCTCTCTCACATGATCTGTTGGCAATCCATTCAGCGGAAAGGCAATGAGCCTCGTTTGGATAACGACTCAGAGCCGCTCCGCAGGACTCGCGATTGGAGAGGATTCGCGGACGATTCCCATGGTTCCTCCAATCGTCTAATCAGAATTGTTTCAAAGAGGTTCGGATCATTTTCGACCTCGAGATGATGAGGAGAATGCCATATACTCGGTAGGAGAATTGTTTTGGCCCGGGTCGTGCCAGAAATCGAGGGTAGAGATTTCGAGAGGTCGTCGGGAACATAATCCACGGGTTATTTGTTCCTCACGGATGATTGCCGGAGAAAGTCGGCCTTCAATTCATTTAGTCGTCAGAGGCCGAACGGAGACCAGTGACTGGAACATACGCTTAGTTTGCTCGGGAAGAACTTGGACTCTGGCCAAGAAGGTAGCCGTTTAGGTGGAGCTTCGAGACAACGATGGAGACACTCAGCTTCCATTCCCGTACCGCGCTTGAAAGCTCGATTTATATTAAGACGTCATGGAGAGTGCGGCCTTCAGAGAAAAGGAGTCAGAAGACAGGGCATTGCTAGCAGGAGACTCCTGGAAGGGGGAGACGACTGCAGCGAGATCCCTTCCCCTAACAGAAGAACCTCAGAAGTCTCAGTAAGCAGGAAACGACCGAGAGTTGGAAAACACTAAATTCCTCACGCAAACATTCGGTGAGAGTCTGCTCTGATGGTCCACTCATATCAAATACGAACCATTGTCAGAGAAATCGGGCCAGAATCTGAGGCTTCAAACACAGAGAGACGACCAAGGGATGAATCGGGAGGAACTCAAAGGCCTATAAAGCGGGATGGGGAGAGATTTTTTTCTCGCAGGCGACGACTTAGCCGCAGCGGGACCTGGGCATCATTTCGACAGAGGGAACAGAGAAAGAATTAGAGCTCGTCGGTGGGCTCAATGATGTCAACTTTTCATTCAGAATTAAGCTGTCCCAACAATTTTTTTCAAAGCTGGTACTCCCCGAAGAGCACATCATTGTAACATCCATATGAACATTTTCAAATCGCAAAGGTCTGGTCCTCCATTCTGTGGTCCAGACTTATCACACGATGCAGACGGCTTCTTGAACGAGGGAAACAAGCTGCGTCCCCAAATCTTCGTCCTCGTTCGCCCAGGAAACACAAACCGATTTCATGTCGTCTTCGAAACCGTTAACTCTCACGATCGCCGAGCCGAGAGACAAGGAGCCGTCCTGGAGCATTTGCATGGTTTCTTGATCGTCGCTTGGCAGTTTGTCCTTGACGAGATCTTGGACCAACTCGGCAAGTTTAGCCGTGGAGCCTTGGAATGTTTCCGGGATGGATATCGTCGTGGTGAATCGGATTTGATGTTCGCGCACTCCGAGTTCGTTGAGAGCGTCTTCTGGCTCAACGAGCTTCATAACGTTGTCGTACATGAGGATCGCGGCGTGTATTTGTTTCGACTTTTTCTCCGAGACTATCTCTGCCTGCGGGAGTGCTCGCTTCAACAGAGGCAAGTCGACGTCGAGGACGATGTGTTCAGGAACCGAGATGAGCGTTGTTTCACCTGAGGGAGGCACGACAGATGGATGTGAGTCCACATATATGCGTGAACAAAATCCCGTGCGTATCCGTGGGTTTGTTTCCCGAACGAACTGTGAAGGAGTTTGGAGAAGTCCTAAAGAGAAATACTCACCATTTGCGGGCATGTAGCAAGGGATCTTGAATTCTTCTTCGATCTTGCCCTTCAGGAACTTCATTTTGTCTCCTTCCCCATGCACGAGTAGAACGTTTTTCGGTTCGCATTGACGTATCAACTGCATAATGCCCTTAGCATCAGCATGCGCCGAAAACGACAGGTACTCGACTGAGAGTTTGACGTCGATCTGGAAGTTATCGCAAATTTTTGGTCCAATGCGTGATGGGCATGGAAAATGTGGACTTTGGAATCTTTTAATGATGAAAAAGTTTCCGGAAGCTCAGGAATGTGCAAGCATCTGGCAGGGTCTCTCCGAGAGGCGAGCTCATGCTTTCCAAAGTCTCTCAAACGTCTATTTCGGATCTTTCAACTTACGAAATTTCCTTTCTCGATTTCGACCCGACGGGCTCCGTTCAAAATCTTCGCACCCACCGTACCCGAAACGCAGTATCCGGGCATTATGACCATGTTCTCTTCGAAAGGAGCCCATTTTTTGAAAATTTGCAGCGAGAGACCCGCGTGGAGCATGCCCGGAGTCGCAAACACAACCATGGGACCTGAAAAGGGATGCGTGGAAGCCTCAAAACCGGAATATCCGATTGTTTCACTAGTGAGAAGTTCCTGTCTCCGAATTGATCAGAGAAGAATATCCATACCTGGATTGTCTATGTAGGCCCTATCGAAGGGCTTGATGTGCTTGAAGTCGAACATGTTGTGATCGACGAAAGTATTACGGATCTTCTGATTTGTCCACGTGATGAACATCTTGTAGTAGTTCGTCGCTTTCTCCGTGAGGCCAGCAGCGAAATATATCGGGCACTTGAGGTTCATTCGTTCCCAGTACGTCTCCAACAGGATGCAGAGTTCCTGGGCCCGACCGAGAGCGAAGGCTGGGATGAGAACCTTCCCGCCGCGCTCGATGCAGTCATGGACCTTGTTGAGGAAATCTCTCTCCCGACATCGCTTCGAATCTCTGATTGTCGTCGCGTAGGTCGACTCTGTGATGAGCAGATCGGGTCGGCACCGGTCGATCCAGGCGGCACCGAGATGTCGATCAGGTGTCATGTTGTAGTCACCCTAATAATTGTAGCAAGAAGCATGTCAATTAGACCCGACGGCATTGGAGGAATTCCAGGACTCTGGGAGGATTATACGAGAGAAATGCGAGCAGAAATGACGGTCTTACTGTGTAGACAATGCTGATGTGTCCAACTTTGATGTGGAACATGGCTGCGCCGAGAACATGTCCCGCATAGTAGGCCTTGATTTCCAGTTCGGAATCGACTTTAATCGTCTCGTGGAGGTTGCAGGGAATGACCTTCTTCATGCAATCCCTGATCATTCCCTGAGAGAAGAAGTTCTGCTCGCCTTTCTTGTCGACGCAGATCTTCCGGAAATCTTCCTGCGTATGGAAGGTCTCGTCATCCCGTCTTTCAGGATATCATCCCACCCGTGTCAGGGATCGGCAAGCGAGCCGGGACAATGGAACTTCAGGGAGCATCGCATGGAGCTCGCATCAGTGATGATTTTTTTTCCAAATGATTTCAACCCACCAGAAGTATCGGACAAATCGCTTTGGTCGGATGTGTCATGTAGATCGGTCCTGTATAACCAATCATCTCACTCATGAAAGGTAGAGCTCCACAGTGGTCGAGGTGGAAATGAGAGATTATCACGCAGTCCAGAAAATCGTCCAGAGGTCCTCCATTGTTGATGTAGGAAAAGTCGGGGAAGCGTCTCTGGAAAGTCACTCGGGCTTATCATCAAAGTATACGGAAACTAATTTTGCCTCCATGAAAGGTAAGCGTTTCGAACTGCGTGAAATTATCGGATGTCGTTCGCCGTGTCTGCAGCATGAAGTCATTTCCAAGATCCGATGGAATGACTGACTGCTCACCTCGTCCTGGTAACCCATGTGCATCCCGCAATCCAGCATGATGTTCTTGCCTCCCATACTGATGAGGATACAGCTCCTCCCTACGTCTTGACCGGCGCCTGTCCGATGAAATTAGAGAAATCGTTCCTTAATTGTGGCTCGCTCCTCCGAACTCCGAAGATACCCACACCGCCATTCGTATTAGGAGAAGCTTGGCGCGGAGATTTGCGCTCCTCCATTCGCTGTCTGAACTCACCCAACGGCGTTATCGTTATTTCGCTCATTGAGACGAGGGCCTCTGGGATCCGGCGGGTACGCAGAAAATATACGTGACGGTTCTACGAAATGCTTTTTTCGCGGAGCCGGTGCATACAGATCGCGAACAGTAGGATCAGATGCACACACAGAGTGCCGCCATGTTTCAGAAGGGAGGGAGCCTGAATAATTCGAATTTCGCCCGCGAAGCCCGTCTCCACATTTCGTAGACACTCTTCGTGGACTCGAGGACGCCCTTTTCGGTCTGGATTGGATCGGGTTTGCAGGATGAGAGCCCGATTGATAGGGGACTCCGATCAGGGGGTCCCTCAGAATACTTCGAGAACTTCTCCTACGGAACCTCTTCTGGAGAGAGATGTCTGACCCGGGAAACCCCATCCGAATCAAGATTGAGCGCTAATGGGAGATGCTCGTTCAGCCTGTTTTCACGGACGACGGAAATTATTCATCAAGCCACCAGCTTATCCTGCAACAATAATTTCACGGTCCTAGGTGAGAGTTTACCGCTCCCAGGTGAAACGCTTTACTCATCTCGCGCTCGGAAAAGCAGCGCGGTGAGTCGGTGAGTCGACACGTAGTCCGCCGCCACATGCGCGGACACGTGGAAGCGAGGAGTCTTCGGAAACCGTTCCCGAGCGAGGACATTCGATCGATTATCCACATACATACATAAACTGGACTTTACCTCAGGATCCGTGAGCCCTGGGCTGAAAGCGCGAGAATGACACCGGAACTCGAAGGAAAGAGCTGAAAAATATGGAACGAAAATCCACAAAAATCAGCGGCGATTTGGAGCAATAGAAATCTTCGACTTCAAAATGTCCTGTCGAAGCCGGGGAGTCACAGGGCGGAGCTGTCTGGCCCGAGAAAAATTATCGACCAGCGATTTCTGAAGATCAGAAGGCAGACTGCGATCGAGGAAGGATTCAGTGCCATCTAAATGTGAATTGTATTGCCGAGGGCTTCCTTAACGTTGCACTGCAGATCGCCCCGAAATCATCGGAACGAATCTGTAGCGGAGCGTCACTATATCAGGTCTTCGGCCAGGAAAAACCAAGCGTGTGCCGTTGTGGGAACGAATCGACGACTTGTGGGGGATTCCGGAGCTCGCTCGTCGATCTCCTAGAACATCCCTTTGTCAGAGTGGCCTGCGAGCCGTTTACCTCCAGCTTCAGATAGGGAAGGAGCCGGGACGCCCGAGACACCTATTTGTCTGCTCGATGAGGGGACTGTTGGTATCCCTCACGCCCATGAAACGCCCATGCCGTTGTTCGGTCAATGTGCGTGCAAGATGCGATCGGCAAGCACGAAACGCGCGCGCACATGTATTCGAAAAAAATCGCTCGCAGGGATCCCGTCCTCTCCGTGTCTTATACCATCAAGTGACAGTTGTTTATCCGAGAGCCTTCGAAGACATCACCTACTCGATCCTCCACCAAATGGGACTTCATGCGAAGCAGGACAATGATACCGTACCAAGAGAGTCCCTCGCCCTCCAAGAAACCGTGAAGAGAGCCAAGAGGCTTTTTAATTACTCGACTTACGGTTTGGTGATTCTTGATTGCTTGTTCCGGAAATCCGAACTCCGAGGAATACGGGCTTTCGACGAGACGTGCGATCTGCGTTATTTCATCGATCAACTACAGTCAATCCGGGTAATAAGATCTCTCAGCTGGGACTTCCTGATCACGAAGGTTCTACCTTTTGCGGTCGGATCTGCATGGACTCACGCTCAATTTTTCAGCTCATCACCCAAAACGCAACCCACAGATCATGTTTCCTCAATCAGAAGCACAGCGTGGTGTATCTCAACGATCTCTACACGGTGATTTCCCGTCAGATGGGTTCGCTCCTAGTGCGTCCTTTGAGTTTGCGTTCCCGAGGGTACTACCATCCGTCTCCATCAGCTTGTCAATTGTCGTTTAGGTACGGATCGGAGACCCATGTGTTCCGTGGCGATGATTTCGAAAACTTCACGGTCAAGATGCTGCAGCTCAACCTGAATTTCGCACCAGAAGACGTCTCACTGAGAATTCAACAAGGCTACTTCAAGACTGCCGAATTCCCGCTTGAATCCGTGAAGCTGACCACGAAATTCCACCGCTCTATGTGCCAGAAGAACGACCATGAGAGATATGCCAGCGAGGTGGAGCTCAAGTTTGCCATCGACTGCCAGGGAAATGCGGGAGAAGTCATTATAAAGCTCGACTTGAGGTGGCTGTACGCCCGTCGACCATTCTATCTGGGGAGTCTCGATCCCTTGACGAGTTATGCCTCACAATTGACAGAAGGAGCCAGCAGCCCGATATCCAGGAACGCATGAGAACCCCTCCGATGCGGTGCACGGATGCGTCTTCAGAGCGTCTTGTAGCAGTATTTAGAGCGGTGTATGCACCATCCGAATCGGTCGACGCTGGGATGCCGGATCAAGACATAGGTCATTGCCATGTATTATACTCATCTTCTCTTAAAGTGTACATTTTAAGTAAGCTTATTTTAAGCTAGATAATTCCAGGTGATTTTAGCGGTACGATCCGATTGATGAGCCTTCCTGCAGACTCGCCAGATGACGCTCGTCAGAGATCGTTGTGAAAAAAAGAAAAAAGAAAACTTGATCGTAGAGCTTTCAAGACGGGCTCGCATCTCGATACGTTCTTTGGGTGTTCGTCTCGAAGCTCCTGATGAGCGGGGCAGCCCATGTCCATATTTTTGCAGATCTTTTTGAATACATCGAGTTCCCATCGCGGGGAGAATGACTCGTTTTCAGTCTAGGCCAGCGAGAGAAACTCGAGCGAGATACCCGACCCTGTCCTCAGGGAGGACCAAAAACATTCTGACCTATCTGCATGAGCCTCCCTCGATTGATTCTGCGAACCTGGTCGAATCAGACGGAAGCAGAATGATCTAGCAGGCTTGCACAGAGATGAAGTGATACTTTCCGGTACGAAGTTGACCCTGCTCTTGACTTGGAGGAACACGGTACGATTCAGCTGAGACTGTTTGAAAAATTTGATCCATTCTCTCTCGCTCCCCTTCGCTGAAAATTCGGAGCTGTCCCGGGATCGCTGCGGAGAGCTCTGAGTTGCGCGACTCCCGTTCGCCGACGAGCGAAATGAGAAAATCCCGATGACGATTTGCGCTCCCAAGTAGAGAAACCGGCTGCGGTCAGGGACCTCGTGATACGCTCGAGGGGGAGGGAACCATGGGTACGAAATACCACAGCTCTGAGCAGCATTTCTTTCAGCTCGAGTATGGAATGAGGTTCAAGTATGTGATAGGCGCGCGACCCGCGACTCACGAGCGAGCATGGGCGGACTGAGAGAGCTTCCCCTCGGCTTAGTCGTCCATCTCTCCTTCAAACATTCTCTCAAGACAGACGTGTTTCTGGATGCTCCACATCTGCGTGAATCGAGTGGGCAGAATTATCGTGAATCATCCGTTCTAGAATGGAAAAATGATAATGGTGGGTCGCGATTACTTCAAGCCAGCCTCTCCGTGAGGCGTGCATCTTACTTAAGTCGGGTCATCAACTTTTCTCGGATTCGTCTCCAATGAGGCTGAATTTTCTCGAGTGGGGCTGTGGAGCTTCCCTTTTGAGCCGGGTGCGACCGGAGAGCTCGGCGATCACTACATTTTATTCCGCTCGTTCTGCTTGGCCCAGCCCGCTTCTCCAGAAACTGAATTTTACAAAGTAATGTTTTCTCGGTACTTCACTCGAATCTAGGGCTTCACGTGTCTTTCGAGTCTTTGGCTCGACCGAATTCCACACCCCCTCGATCGGATCATTCCGGGCTGAATCCGGAATCAGTCGGGACAGGCATCTGACAAGCTTCGACCGCTGTCCACGAGAAGACAATGATGCTTCATGTCGCGTTCCAGTGTAGGCTTCTCCGCGACAATCAGCTGGAGCTCGGTATAGTGAAAGAGGGTGCTAGCTCTCGTCAGCTGGACGAAGGTTCTCCCGGCGCTCGCCGTGGACTCCCCAGTCCCGGTCGTCACACTATGTCGTGCTCAGCTCGGCCCTTCGGCAAATGTCACAGATTGTTGTGGTGTGAGTGCGGACTTGTGTTTCGTCTTGCTGTCGTCCTTCGACCACAATAAAGCATTTATTCGCTGGATTGCCCCTCTCCCAAATCCAAGATGGCCGCTCTTGGTCGAAATGTCAACTGACAACTTCGACACCGTAGATCATGGACAACCGGCGTGTAGATCCTCAGAACAACAACCTGTGAGTAATTCGAATGTCGGTCCACACCGGCAAGGCACGTTCCGACGCGTTCGGAAGGGGAATCCGAGTCGGCTAAGCGTCTCCGAGCAAATCCAGGCCAACAGATTGCTCCGAGAGACTTCTCTATGCCAGTGTTCCATTACCCAGTGAGATCCTCGGAGAACCACCTGCGCGCATTTTCGAGAGAGCCATCCTTTCCTCCTTGATTGAGTGACTGAGCTGGCATAAGTCAGCTGGTAGTTCAGTGTCGATTAGTTCTCCGAGCAAAGCTCTGTTGTACCTGTTGCATAGAGTCAATGGCTCTTCCACATGGAATCGGGGGTCAGGTTCGTGATCACGTCAGATCTCCGAGACATGTTCCGAGGGTTCATTGTCTTCCAGTCATTTGATGCGTGAAACGCCGAATCAGATCTGGGACTGCCGCGCTGAATCCTGATCCCGTTTCCGAGAGAATCGTATTGCGTGGGAGTACGTGGGACAGCTGAGCTCCTCGTTTGGTGGAGCATCCAGTTGCTCCTCGAGAAACAACTTCCATTTCGATCTGTCGTAAGATCAGCCACACGTGTACGACCTGAGCCTTCGCCACCGCTCTTGCATCGATTTTGGCGGGCTGCCCCCAATTCGACCGCGCTATTCGATGGACTCTAACGAAGTTGAGCACGAGACCCGGAATCTCATGGCTGGGAAGCTTCATCACGGAAGATCGAGAGACCCGCGAAATATCGTGTTACATAAGGCAGTCTGAATTACCGACTTCCTCGCCCGGTACATTGAGGATCTGTTTCCATTGACAAAACATAAACGTGCGCTAGCCACAGAGTCTACAAACCTTACTCCAGACGGCGAGTCCTGCAGGTGTCAACCTAAGAATTATCTACTTCGTAAAGAGACTTCCAGCGTTTCTACCGAAAAATTAAAGGGGTCGCACAATGTCCGCTATGACCCAGCGAGAATCGGACAATTCAGGCGCTGTCGTAGTTCTCGCGATCCCACCTGTGTGGATTTCGTATTCAATAGTCCCGAGAGTCTCTGCGAATTTCTCCAGTGCCCTGAGTGGCGTGGAATCTCGTCGATTCGTCGCTCTTATGATCGTTGATCTTGTACGCGAAATACTCGCAGGCAGCCAAAATCCAGCGGAAAATGTCGACAAAGCGGGGGGATCTCTCAGAGACCACGCCGATTCTATTGGAACATCTATTGTTTTTGTTGTTCACTCCGAAGCGGTGCCTCGAACATCCATTTTCTCTCCGAACTTCAATCGCCCGCGAAGGCGCTCCAGGCGAGTTTTTGAAGAAATCGGATCAAGTTTCCATCGAATGAATAAACTCTGGCTCAACCGCGATCCGTTGAGTGAGGTATAAGCGGAGGAATGCTTTCTCTTGTCGACTGCATTAGCTAATTGCGATAGCCACAAGTCTGTAACGTTGTAGAAAAAGCACCACGAAAACACCGCCTATGTCTAGAGGTCGGTCACCTGAAAGAGCATTATGTTAGACCGTCTGTCAAATGCCTGACCGGATTCGGGATCGATCAATACCATCGTACGAGCCCAGCCGAGCTCGAGGCACGCTCGCGTAGGGCCTGCTCGATCGATAAATAATTCGGCCGACGCAGCGATAACAATCTGACGATTTCCCGAGGTGGCTCTAGGTTCGAGGCGGTCACGAGACGGATTTTTGCTCCGGGTCGAGTTTTTTTTGTCTTTCACCTTTCCCTACCTTTCGCACTCGCATCTCCTTCCGCAAAGTATACGATCAAGCTTTTGTGAGTTGCCCGAATACAACATGCCTTCGAATATTGCAAAAACGAGAATTTTTCGAATCCGCGTTCAATTCGAACATCCCAGTGCAGGAATCTAAGGGTCCGGAAGTTTTTTTGACTCGTGCGACGGATCTCAGTCAGCATCAATTGCTGCGAGGTCGCCGTGGAAGTCAGCATTCTGCATCGCGTTGGTGATGTGAGGGAGCTATTGCCTTGCTGATAGATCTCAATCTACTCCAGGAAGGATTCGACCAACCATCATCCTCAGCTAGCTCCATGAGCAGCTTCGAATATCGAGCACATCCTTGGATATGGGCAGCACATGAGCAGTCCCCTCTCTGAACTTAGTTAGCGGTGAAACGATTGAGACTGTTGATTGATCCTTCGCCGCTCTACTCGATGCCCTCTCTCTCGTTCTCTCGCCTCCCCGATTGAAGATTCATACGAGCCGAGTGCTCTGAGTTCAACTCGTCTCACGCGCTCTTCACGGATTAAGGACCGCGGGATTTCATTAGCCTCTATGTGCAATCACGATGCTCATTCCAATGCCTTTGTTCTATCTCAGGTGAGCTTGGCTCGTCCAGTCCCTCCATTTGGCGATATCCGTACCGCAAGATATGGAAATTCATTGGAACGACAAATGATTCCCCTTGGTTTTCCGAGCCTGCCGCATTGCTCCTAATTCTGTGCTTGTCACGGAGGCACATCCCCTTCGAATCATATATTTGAAAGAAACCTACCGACGCAGCCGCATTACGAAATGGAAAGCTCGCTCCTCTCTCACCTTGCGGATCGGTCTCACTCTCTCCGCCACGAGCTCATCCTGAAATTTGTTCAGAGAGGTCACGCCTCGACTTTGCGGAATTCTTTTTCCGCTAGGGCAGGCTTTCGTGGTTCGAACCGTGTGACCGCCCCCCCCTGGCCGGTTCGGAAAGCTTCCCTCATGATCGGACCTCCATGGGTACGGAATAATGTCTCACATCCAAATTTTTTGAAATGCAACATTCTGGACGGCTCGCCGCAGACATCTGGGTGACTCGATGCCAGCGTCAGGCCTTGGAGCGATTCCCGACCGTGGAGCAGGCCCGCATCAAAATTCGATATCGGGCTCTTACGAGAATCTACGGATATCTTTCGCAGCTCAGAGCGACTTAAGCACTTACTCCTACAGTCTCTCCGGCCCCTCTCCGCTCGTCACCGGTGAAGTGGTCACCGTTACGATAGCCTAAGACGTTGCTCACGTCAACATTGTTCACGTTTATATAGCGGAAGGCTCTATCAAAGGCGTCCTACCGGTGCGAGAATGTGTTGCGTGTTGAACTCTCTTTATTGGTGTCGGTTTGCTCAAGACTGATCCATTTCAGTGACTATGAATTAGTAGGTGCGATTCCGGTCTTTTAGAAGCAGGGAATCGGAAACCAAGGATACACTTGAGGGAGGCTCAGATCGACCCTCGATCCGGACGTCGGAATAAGCGCTGGGGAACGTGGATAGGACGATTTTATCCGACAGCTGTCAAGTTCTCTGATTGATGGGGATAAGCTAGCCAATACAGTCTGTGCGTGGGTCATAGTGAGCCCCTCTATTCATAGTTTTCTATCCTAATTCCATCGTAAGAGAGGAGTGATTATAAACAGTCCATCTATGAGTCAATCGCCTCTGATGAGTCTTTCTCGACGTCTCAGAGTGTGCGGAACACGTCGCGAAACCGGAAAATCCGGAATTTCGGAGCTGCAGTTAGTACATGGAGAATTACTCCCCGCAGCCAGAACCGGTGATTCAGCATCCAGTAATTCTTAGAGTCTCGTATTTCCAGGTGTAGGAGAGGCACGCCGCGCCGGGCTAGCCGTTTTTGAGGCCTTGTGAGCCTGGCTAGGTCTTCAACATGGAACCGACGGTAGAGCACACGCTGTCCGTCTTGGGCATGACCTGCAAATCATGCGTCAACAGCATTCAACTCACCATCGGAGAGAGATCAGATGTCAAAAGCGTCAAGGTGCGCTGCCCTATTTCTTGTATCGCCGTTTCAATATCGAGACCAGGGCTGAGCAATTTTGATTCCCTATTCAGAGCTCGGGCGAATCTTCAGAGCCAATTTCCTTTCCTATTCCAGGTCGCCCTGGATGAGGCGAAAGCTTACGTGTCTGCTCCGGCGTCAGTGTCCCCTGCGGTTCTAGCTGCAGCGATAGACGACATGGGCTTCGAAGCCGCTTACCTGCACACGACGACAAGCATCCGAATCGATGGTATGACATGCCAATCGTGCGTGCTAAATATCCAGAACACGTTGACACCGGTCGAAGGGATCATCGAAATCGAAATATCCCTCGAAGAAGCGAAAGGAACCTTCAAATTCGATGCCAAAAGCATATCCGTACAACAGATCGTCGAACATATCGACGATATGGGATTCATTCCGAAATGGCCGTACGAAGAAGACGTGGACAAGGACTTTGATCAGATTGCCAAGCGACACGCTTCAGCTCTGGATGAGGTCGACGCGATCCTGAGCGGCTCCGACCCGGACGGCTGGGTCACAAACTCAGAGGATACCATCAGAGAAGTCGATCAGATACTCGAAACGATTCCTTCGACGCTGCTGTCGAAAGACACTGTGATCAATGTTAGTGAAAGTGACAAATGTGTGCTTCGTGTGAGTGGAATGACGTGCTCGAGCTGCGTAGCGGCAATCGAGAAAGGCCTCAAGAAATACCCCGGGGTGGAACAGGTCCTCGTAGCGCTGCTTGCTCAGAAGGCAGAAGTGAAGTACGATCGGGGAGTGATTTCCACCCGAGAGATCATCGCTGCCCTCAAGGACCTCGGGTTCGGGGCCGAGGAGCTTGATTACGCTACGGAAGCTCACGGCGAGTGTCAACTCCGAGTGGATGGCATGTCAAACCAGGCGGATGCGAGTCACATCGAAGCCCAACTCGCTCGAGTGAAGGGCGTTCTTTCTGCACGCGTGGATTTCCTCCAAAAGAAAGCTTGGTTCAAGATCGATTCGGAAGTCACAGGAGTCCGGACCCTCTACAACCGCATCAGCAAGCTCGGATATTTTCCGTCACCCATCGACTTCCAGTCCGAGAACCTTCTCGAACGGAACGAAGCAAATCAATGGAGGAGATCATTCTTCGTGTCCCTGCTGTTCTTCGCGCCGTCAATGGCTGTGATGATGTTCTTCATGGGTCACATGGACCGGGAACGACTTTGGTTCCGAGGGGTTTCGAACAAGAACTTCCTCCTGTTCGCGTTAGCTACCCCTGCACAATTCATCGGAGGGCGATATTTCTACGTGCAAGCGTTCAAGGCTCTGAAGCACGGAATGGCGAATATGGATGTGTTGGTGATGTTGGCGACGAACACGGCCTACTTCTACAGTGTAATCGTGTGCTTGATCTTCATGATGACCGCAAGCAACGGGAGCCCGAAAACGTTCTTCGAGACGTCATCGATGTTGATGCTCTTCATATCAATGGGGCGATGGCTCGAACACAAAGCCAAGGTAAGATTAGCTGGGGGAAAAATGGCCACCGATTCCGGAATTTCTACCGATCGGAGTATCTGATGGAATTCATGGATCCTGACCCGGATCCGTATCCACGTTTCAGGGTAAGACATCAGAAGCTTTATCGAAGCTGATCTCGATGCAATCCTCGGAAGCGATTCTCGCTGAGGTCGACAGTGATTTCAACATAAGCGACGAAAAACCAATCCACGTGGGACTGCTCCAACGTGGGGATATTGTGAAAGTTTACCCAGGAGAGAAAGTCCCCGTAGATGGCAAAGTCATTCACGGGAGCTCCATGGTAGACGAATCCTTGATAACGGGTGAGTTCGATACTAAGCTCGAGTTTTCGGTGTCCCCCTTGCATCCAGGCCGACCGTGCGGGCGGGATATCCCTGTTTCATCTCCCGATGGCTCAAGAGATTGGACCTCATAATTGGGGAGTCATCAACGAGTCTAAAAAAAAGTGTTCCGGTTACAGGCGAGCATCTGCCCGTTTCTAAGAAACCAGATTCGCTGGCTATCGCCGGGTCGGTGAACGGGAACTCACCCTTACTCATAAAGGCGACTCATGTCGCTCAGGATACGACTCTGAACCAAATTGTGAAATTGGTGGAGGACGCACAGACCTCGAAAGCCCCAATCCAACAGCTGGCTGATCAACTAGCCGGCTACTTCGTCCCTGCGGTTTGTTTTATCGCAGCAATCACGCTTTCGTCCTGGATAATAGTTGGATTCCACGACCCCAGCTACATCCGATCTTTCTATCCGTATTTGGTAAGGAGGGAATTGTCAATTGATGATTGGTTCTAAGCCCCGGCAGACTGGAGTCCTCCGAATTCCTCTTGCCGACACACAGCCGACTGAATTCGCACATTCTGAACCACTTTCCAGGACGTTTCCTCAGACACGGAGATCGTTCTGCTCTTCTCCTTCCAATGCGCCATAACAGTGTTGGCCATTGCGTGTCCGTGCTCCCTCGGCTTGGCGACACCGACGGCTGTCATGGTCGGGACAGGTGTCGGAGCCCGTAATGGAATCCTGATCAAAGGGGGCGAGCCACTCGAGCTCCTCCATAAGGTGAGTTTCCCGATCTCAGCTGGAGGAGAGTTCCTGAAGAAAATTCTTGAGCTTCATCCGGGTCTTGAATGGTGACCAGGAGTCTGGAAAAAAAAAATTTGATGGTGAGCGTTTTGACTACAGATCCAATGTATCGTCTTCGATAAAACGGGTACTTTGACGGAGGGAAAACCGTCCGTGACTAGGCTCGTCGTCTTCACATCCGGAGACGAGCGAGAAGCCATTACAGAAACACTCTGCCTCATCGGAGGTGCCGAAGCTTCGAGCGAGCACCCGATCGCCCACGCGATCACCGAATTCGCCAAAAAGTAGGGGATACGTCTTCGGTTGATAAGAAAACTGACAAACTCGATCTTCGCCCTGTACCAAGATGGACAGCATATGGACTCATTCTTCCGAGCTCATGATTTCTAGATCGATTTTTTTTCCTTCCAGTTACCTCAAATACGACTCCTTTCCCACGGTCAAGAATTTCGAGGTTATTCCCGGAATGGGCATCAAGTGTCGAACGACAAGTATCGCAAATTGTGTGAAGAATTGCCAGCAGAATGAGGAGCTCGAGAATTTTATCGAAGTTGTGAATTGTGATCGCCAAAGCTCCACCCTCATCGACGTCAGTGCTAGCGACTCAGGTAATTAGACTACGGAGAATATTGAGACAATTCTCTTCCGTCGACTCAGCGGGCCGGCTCGAGCCCCTGCTTGCCCACATCGGCTCGGATACTCCAGCTGTTTATCCCTCCTGGTCTCGGTCCCATCACCCGATTGACAGAGATTGTTTAGGCAATGTGGTCTCATATTTTCAGTCCAGAGACTCGACGGTGTTCATCAACTTCTCATCGGGAACCGGGCGCTCATGAATCAGGAGAAAGTCCTCATCTCGAAAACTGTCGACGTAATTGTCGAACACGCTCAGCTCTCGGGCGACACTGTCGTCATGGTGGCTTGCGACGGAGAAGTTGTATGCGTTGCCGCCGTGGCAGACAAGGTTCGACTGGATCTTCTAGGACTAAACTGATTGTGATTCTCTGGGATGTCCCATCCCGAAGGGAGTCCTCGAAGTTATGACCTGACACATGTCCCCGACTCTTGCTTCCTGTTCTCGGATTCTAACAATTTGAATCCGCAGGTGAAACGGGAGTCTAAAAGTGTTGTAACCTGTCTGAAACGAATGGGGATCCATGTCGCCATGTTGACTGGCGACAATCGAAACTCAGCGCTCGCAGTGGCGCAACGAATAGGCATCGACACTGTTTTCAGCGAAGTTCTTCCTTCTCATAAGGTATGCAAGCGGGTTTTAGTTCATTGTTGGGGACCTTTTGCCCATGCAGAGCCAGGACGAACGAAAATGGGAGCTTCTCGTTTCCGTGAAATCTGAATGGCGATTCCCTTCCCTGCAGGTTGCGAAAGTGAAGACTCTGAGAGAGCAGTTCGGCTTGGTCGCGATGGTAGGCGACGGAATAAACGACAGTCCTGCTCTGGCCCACAGCGACGTCGGTATTGCAGTCGGAGCCGGGACCGATGTAGCGGTCGAGGCGGCTGACGTCGTCCTCATCAAGGTCAGCAAGAAAATCTTATGACCGAAGAACCGAAGACTAGGAACGCCTAATCCTCTCCCAGGAGACAGCGTGTTTGTTATGAAAACAGGAAGTCTTGAGCGGTGCAGAGTTTTATCGTTAGTCTCAATTCGTGTTGCAGGATAACCTCTTCGACGTCCTCACAGCGTTGGATCTCTCCCGAAAAACAGTCCAACGCATAAAATACAATTTCCTCTTCGCAACGCTCTATAATCTGCTCGGGATCCCCATGGCTGCAGGATTCTTCATACCTTTCGGAATAGTTCTGCGGCCTTGGATGGGATCTCTAGCGATGAGCGTCTCCTCTGTCATCGTCGTGGGATCCTCTCTGCTTTTGAAAAGGTGCGAAGTCGACAATGAAATCCCTCGTCTCGAATCGGAAATCTGTCAGTTATTTTGAGCTAATATATAACCGTAGGATATTTTATCGTCATTCCCCGGCTTACATTTGCAGATACCGGAAACCGACGCGTTCGCAGATCGAATCGAACGCTTTCGCCAACGAGTTCCGCAGATCGAACAAAACTCTTCTACCTCGTTGGAAGTTTTTCCCGACTTTCACGAGGACTGCTCCGGTTCTGACGAAAGTTCACTACAGCCCGCTGACGCAGATAAATTGATATGCCAAAGAACCTCCGGAAGGATCCCAGCAATAGCGGACCGGTTTCCTGGATCGTTTTTTAGTTTCCCATTTCCGATTTTTTGGACACGAGAGTGGTAGAATTTCCCAATCGATGAGGATCCACAATTCCCAAGCGAGCTCAACTCTGATTCCGAACAACTGATTTTGCTTCATCCATCCCAAGAAGCTTTGCGAGCGGAGGTTGGTGTCCAGAGTTGATTTCCGTGCTCTTGAGTCTTTCACGATAAGTTATTCTCAAATTATATCGGTTCGCAGAGGGATGTATGTGAATCCAATCTGAAAGCCGATATTTGGAGATTCCTCCGCTCAAGTCTTGGTCGAGAGAGGGAACACGCTCTCGATCGAGGATTGTAAATATAAACTCATGAAAGTGAATTGTTGATAACGAGTTTCTCTCACGGGTCTCAAGTGCTTCTACGTAGATCTCCATGTGATAAGTTATATAAACAACCCGATAACATATAACAGATGATAAAATGTCAAGTGCAATGAGCTCTTCGGGTTTTTCTTCTTCCTTTTACTTGCAAGGTCTTTGAATTGTTTCGCTCCATTGGATACGCATCGCGAGGTCGAATCCGTCATAAGTATATTGCTTCTTCCTCGATCGGATCTAGGCCGATTTCCGGATATTGAATTCCTCGAAGGGACAGTAATCGCTCCCGAAAAGGAAATCCCCCGTGGAGAAGATGGAGCACTCCTGACTTCTAAGGTTGCTAACTAATCCGGTAGATCTCTGCATTCTCTCATTCATGATCTCATGATAGAGGGATACTTTCATAATAATACATGTGAAGAGAGAGCTCGTTAGTGATTTCTTTCTACCGCGGATTTCCGTCGCAGAATTGATTTCGTCGATTGGATCCGGGGGAGCCTCGAGATTGCGATTCGATTCTGGCTCAGGGAACCGTATGCGCCGAGATTCGGCTAAGTCTCCGGGGTTTTTCGGAATTAATTTTTATTTCTCCTCTTATAATACAAACTCCTTCTGTACAATATGCTTCTTGAACTTGGCTATGAAAAATCCAATCGTATCCACGTTGAAATCGTCGCCCTCCTGGGCCCCATCGAATCGTTGTAACAGTTTTCGCTGGTGGTCTGTGAGTCCCTCACACCGCAGACCGACGGATCCGAGATGGGGCGTTTGTTCAACAAGCTCCAGCGGAAGATTGTTCACGGCCCAAGAAACCACCATCTCGTTCTCCGCTGGATTGATACTGCACGTAGAGTAAACAATGTAGCCATCGTCTTTCAGGAGCTCGCAAGCAGCTCTCAAAAGCGCTCGCTGCACACAAGGGTAGCTCTGAACCTGCCTGAGGTTGAGACGATATTGCAGTCTGGGCCTCTGACCCAACGCGCTGCAAGGAGCATCGATTAAAATTCTATCGAAGGTCTGGGGTCCATCAGCGAGATCTGGATTCGTGGAGAAGGGCAGAGTGCCATCGTGCACCACGCACTTGACACAAGTCAAGTTCCAGAGCTCGCACTTCTCCCTCGTCTTCTCAAGACGCGCACCGGCTTTGTCGAGGGCGATTACAGTGCCTGTGTTTTTCATCAGCGTAGCCAAATGCGTCGTCTTCCCACCGGGTGCTGAACACATATCCAGAACCGTTTGTCCGGGTTGCGGGTCCAGAACCTTCGCGCAGACAACCGAGGGCAGATTCTGGAGCGTCATAATTTCAGGATGGATTCGGTTCAAGGGAGGACATTGCTGGATCGGTTGGGTGACTTCCACAGCTATACCACTGTTTACGTTGTTCTTGAAGATTTCATCTCTGGACACCATGGCCCTACCGTTTCCGACAAACATTTTTTCTCCGGTATACCATCGCTTCAGACCTCGAGTGCACTTTTGGTCGACGTCGGCGTAAACTGCAACCATATCACCTTCCCGGAGGCCTCCCGGTGCGGCCAGAACTCCAGGAATGTAAACGTTGGCTCCACGGAGAACGGCTTCTCCACATTCTAGACCCACGATCAGCTGACGCCGACAGGGTGCGAAAGACACAGGAACTTTCGGAGAGACAACGATCAATGTATCGTCCAGCTGGGGATGCTCCAGAACCACATAGGAGCCATTACTTCTCGCGCATTTGTCCACGTAAGCTCGGAGTTTTTCTTTCGCATCGCTGATTGTCGTCCTCAGCGTATTCACTCGGAGAACCGTGTACTGCGGAGGGACCGCGAGCCACCGCTCGAGACGTTCGAATTCTCCCGGCGCGTTTTGGCTCGCCAGGAAATCCGCGACGTCTTTCTGCTTTCGGAACACGCTACAATTCTTGAAGGCATCTTTCATTCTGTGGAGAATCCGGCGAGATCCAGCGAACTTGAGTCTCATGAGTCCTCCGTCGGAGTACTAGTGCCCGGTGAACCGCATGGTCCTAGACAGCTGTTTTTGTTTTGAATGTTCAAATCTTGGCGCGCTTCGGCTTCGCATATCCTCCTGATGGGAAACTGTCTGACCCAACGAGTTTCCGACGAGATGTGGGTTCTGGGCTGACGTTGGCCGTTCACGCAATGAATCGTTGAGAATTCGGAAATGATTTCTATCAAGTGAAACCATTTCTTCTACGGATCGAATACATCCACGCTCATTCATTCAGCCCAAATT